GCCAAAGCCATAAAACCACTAACCCCAGAACAGAACAGAGTCATTGAGGGGAGGAGCAAATAAAAGCAAATCTTAAACACCTCTGAGAATGTAATGTAAAAGAGTAAAGAATTCATCTAGGTTTAAAGTTCAATAACTATTTGTTTAATATTAACTCTTTGCCAAGAACTATGTTACAACCTGAGTTTACCAAGATTGACATGGCAGCTGAATCACCTGCTTTTGAGAAACTCTCCACTAGTGAAAACATATATTGCTTTCAAAACAAAGTAGTAAATTATATACATAGATAGAAGCACAAATAAAAGATAGTTCCTTAACTCAGACTGAGCCAAAAAGAATTTCCTGGTGGCCTAGCTTTCCTTGATGACTACACTTACAAAGAAAAAGTAAAGTTGTCAGTTACTGTGTGATAACATATTATTATCTCTAGAAATAAGTTAAGGTTTTAAATGGAACATCTCACCTAAACTGCTTCAGAATTTGAGTGTTTATTAAAGGGATAACTTTAGGCAGAGGTGACAAGTTTTCAAACAAAATGTGGGTACTGAAAAATAAACCTATGAATTGCAATATTACTCTGTGTGACAATGATCACAAATGATTCACAAATTAAGTAACAGAAGAAAAATATTTCACAGCAAGGAACCAAAGCAATTAATAGCAATAATGCAGATTGCACCTCTACTAATAGTGAGTTTCTCAAAAGCAGGTGATTCAGCTGCCATGTCAATCTTGGTAAACTCAGGTTGTAACATAGTTCTTGGCACAGAGTTAGTATTAAGAAATACTATCTCAAAGCTGCAGTACCATTACATAAACAATCTAGGTTCTTTTACCTCAAGGGATTCTTTAATCTTTTTTTTTTAAATTAGATTTATGCCTATGGTTAATTTTTTAAAAATATATAGATGTTTTTATTAGTTGGAGAGAGAAAGGAGAAGAAAAGATAGAAACACTGGCTGCCTCCTGCATGCCCCCTTCTAGAGATCAAACCAGGAACCCAATCAGTAACTTCTGGATACATAGGACAATGCTCAATCCACTGAGCCATATTATCTGGGCCATGATTAAATTTTTAAAATTCTAATATGATCTTTGCTATAGATGAAATCCAGGTCAAATTTATATTCAAAGCCCAATGATTTATGTCTTAATTAATGATTCTGCATTTTCAACTAAAAGCCTGAAAGTTCATCCATGGCCATCCTATTTCTTGAGTCATCAAATATAAAGTTTTCATAATTAGAATTCTGCTTATGATAGATACACTCAAACAAGTAGAGCTCAAATCTGTCCTTTTAGCTTTTAGTAGCAAAGTAGACAAATCTTGCTCATGAGTTTACTTGTATACTTTGTTTTATATCATGGTCAAGAACTACCCCATTATCTGAGTGCCTTTGCTGTCCTAGCCTAAATTCAAATTATTCAGCAATAGTCAAGCCTATTAGTACCACAAAATCCTTGCAAGAAACAGTGACATTCAGAAAAAACACTGATAATCATTCAGAAAACTGAATGATACATATAAAATGTGTGGTTTTTTTTTTCTTTTTGGTTTTATTTTTTTCTTTACTTATTAAGGTGTTACATATGTGTCCGTATTTCCCTATTGCCTCCCACTCATGCCTTCACTCCCTTGGTGTCTGTGTCCATTGGTTAGGCTTATATGCATGCATACAAGTCCTCATTGTTCTCAAAGTTGCCTGGTACTGGCACAAGAACAGACATATAGATCAATGGAATAGAATAGAGAATCCAGAAATTGACCCAAATTACTATGCTCAATTAATATTTGACAAAGGAGGCAAGAACATACAATGGAGTCAAGACAGACCCTTCAATAAATGGTGTTGGAGTAATTGGACAGATACCATGCAAAAAAAAAAAAATGAAACTAGACCACCAGCTTACACCACACACAAAAATAAACTAAAAATGGGAAAAAGACTTAAATATAAGATGGGAATCTACAAGCAGCAAAATCTCAGACATATGCCGAAGCAATATCTTCACTGATACAGCTTCTAGGGCAATAGAAACTAAAGAGAAAATAAACAAATGGGACTGCATGTAAAATGTTTTGATCAGCCTACTTGAAAATAGATTTTAAGAGACAGCTGAAGATCATTCATTCATTGAACAATTATTGGTTTTACACTTAATGTGCCAAGCCCGCTCTATTTGCTGGGATGCAGGAGCAAAGAAGACGGACAAAGTCCCTGGTTTCATGAAGCTTATATTCTACTAGAATGGTCAACTGATACCTAGATAAAAATAAAAATGATTTCAGATAGTGACAAGTAATATAAAGAACACTAAAAGTACTAACGAACTGGTGAGTAGGAGAGGCAATACAGAACAGTACCGTTTGGCTTTTGTTCCAAAAGAAAGGTAAGAATAACAAGAAGGAGCAGCCATTGAAACATATGGGGAAAAAACCACCAGGTAGAGAATTCAAACAAACAAATACAAAGACTGTTTAAACTCGAGGTGTATGAGAAACAAGCTAGGATCCTGCTGGATACTGTGGAGATCTGAGCTCAGCCTGCAGAAGAAAAGAACAGGGTCCAAAGGGGGATTGTTGACTCAACCTCTTATTAATTGCATTACATGAGAGTTAACCACTTTAAAATCTCTGTGTACTCACTTAAAATTGGGGTGATGAAATCTAATTTGTAAGTGTGTAATCAATATTAATTAGTGTAAACAAAGCACTTGACACATATCAGATGCTCAATAAATATTAGTTCATTCTTCATGAGGGGAAGAAGTAGAATTTACATGGTAGAGATGAAAAGTGATATTAAGTCTAATTACAATTTATTTCATAACATAGTTGACTAAGCCTCATTAAACTACCTAGTAACACTAAAAAAAAAAAAAATAGGTCTTATCACCTTCCCATTACAGATGAGAAAACTGAAGCTCAAAGAGATCAACTGATAATTGCAAAATAAGAGCTTGAGCTTAGACCCAGGTCTTCTAATACCTCATTCCAAGACCTTTGGCAACACTACACTTCCTATTACATATATCTCTATGTTCAATAACACACCAATATGGCTTTAGATAAAGTGGTAACAGCTTCTCATAAAATAGTGGCTGAGAGGAAAGCTGTGATAGTTACATCTGTTTGTAGAGGACAACACTGAGGTTCAATGTGATTAAGGGCAAATATTTTAAAATATATTTTATTGACTTTTTATAGAGAGGAAGGTAGAGGGATAGAGAGTTAGAAACATCGACGAGAGAGAGAGAGACATTGATCAGCTGCCTCCTGCACACTCCCCACTGGGGATGTGACGGCAACCAAGGTATATGCCCTTGACCTGGGACCTTTCAATCTGAAGGCCGACGCTCTATCCACTGAGACAAACCAGTTTCAGCAAGGGCAAAATTTTTGAAGCTAGATAAGCTTGGCTCTGTGGCCTACAATTTATTAGTCATGCAACCCCAGATAGGTTTATTTACTCTTCAGGAATACAGCTTCTCATCAATACTCATTTGGAGTCAATAAGAGTATTTAAAGCACCAAAATGTGCCAATGATTGAATAAGAGAATGCATGTTAAACACTTAACATATTAGGTGGCATATAATAAGTGTTCAATAACTGGCAGACTTTTATTAGACTATAGCTTCTCATTTACTAAAGTAATTTACCTATTGATAACTGGTAATTTAAGAAAAAAAAAAGCATTTTCAGTACATCACCAAATCAGCTATAAAGTTATAAATAAATAACTAGTAAATGCATCTATACATGTCCTTACATTTTTGTGTATCTATCATTCTATCTATTTCTATGCTGCCATTAGCCCTTGCTTATTAAATAGTATTAAATTAGCATCTTCCCAGTTCATGGACTATATATTATTTTTATATGAATAAGTGACTTTTTCTATTATCATCTGGTGATTTCATGCAATTGACTAGGAAAGCTTTTTGAATATTAAAAATATCTGGACATGTGAAACTCTTAATTTATTAATTATTCTGTGGACATAAGAGTTTTAGAATCATGTGGGTGTTATTTTTTCTTTTAATTAGCACTATGTCAGAGTGTTCCAGGATATTATCCTACAAGTATGACTTTTTCTTCAAATAAATACTCTAGAAAGTATTGGCATACTAATACAGATCAAAAGGTATATATTAATAGGTACATATATTAGAAGCTCTTAAAAGAAGGGAAATAAATACACAGAAATATACTAGCCATGGAAATATACTTTTCCAAGTTTTAGGACAAATATGAATATTATGTAACCCTTGATAATATACACCTGAAGGAACAGACTAAAAATCTTAAAAGGAAAAAAATATTTTCCAAAGTCCTCATAAAAGCAAAAATGTGCTATGGCTGGCAATATTTATATCAAATTATCATCAGAGCTGTATGTAAGCAAATTCAAAATACCATTCAAGTGGAAATAGGAAGGCAAGGGAATGTGATTTCATAGTCAAAGCTCAAAATATGTATGGGCATATCCCACCAAAATATGAAAATGGATAAAATTGACACCAAAATTTAGCTATACCCATGCCAACTTTAAAACCATTACTATCACTGCTCAGAATCAGACCTTTGTTCAGCATGACAACAGTGACTTCCTAAAGGCTCACCTTGTTCATTATTGACCCAAATAGCTATTAGAAAACCATGAGTTTTCTTTTCAAATGTGTTGTAGCTTTGTGTTGGGCAGAGTATCAAGAACACCAACCACTATTCTTTCCAGTGTTCACAGAGCTGTCCGGAATCATACAGTCACAGACAGAAAACAATAAGTACTACCAAGTCATCATCTTTCTCTTCCAATTTTTGTTAAGGAAATAAATAACAGGGGGATATTAAAGAAAAAAAAACATGCTATCTATCTATTCAAATATATTTACAACTGACTTAATTGTCTAAGGTAGTGAGATAAAAATGGGGGAACTTTTTGTCTTCTTTTTTCTTTTCCCCCCATTTTTTCCTGTTTCATCTTGTTTTTCTTTCCATGTCCCACATTTACAACACAGGCCTGTCATAAGGCCTGAGCTGAGGTGTATATGGTTGGGTGTACTCTGCTTCCTCTTTCTGTACACACAATGTAAGAATATAGCCTGTGTTAAGCACCGGGAGAGGCCTGGGGGAAATATTTTCAAGATCTTACACAATTTTCTGATTTGTAAAGTCAATCTCTCTATCTCTCTAACTAGCTCTTTCTATCTATCTAAAAACATATAGGTGTGTGTGTGTGTGTGTGTGTGTGTGTGTGTGTGTGTGTGTATCTATAATATATATATAAAAGCCTAAGCAACTGTATGACTGGCTGGTAGATATGACACACGCTGATCACCAAGGTGCAGATGCTCAATGCTGGAGCTGCCCCTGGCACTTCCACAGCAGGAGCACAGCTCAATTGACAGGTGCCAGATGCTGGGCTCACAACTGGCAACCACAGCTGAGGTAGCATAAGCCTCTCCTGTGGAACACACACATGCACTAGCTGAAAAAGTGTTTTTGGTCAAACTTTCAAATTTCATTTATATTATTTCCATAGACAGATTAGATAAAAGTGGGGAAGAGACATTTCATTTATGTAAAACAAAGTTTTCTCTCATGAATCTAATTTGGAGTCCAACGTGATGCTTTCTAAAGGGAAAAAAAGGCAGATTGTAGAAGAGAAAAAAACACTTTATCTTAGGAAATGAAAGAAAATTATATAATGTTTTACTTGTGACAATGTTTGAACAGAAGAGAAAGTGAAGTGTAAGTGTCTAGGGCTTTGTAGGCCTCTCTGTACTGCTGAACTCTAACACAATTTAAAGGGGTTTTCTAAAATAAAACTTAACATATCTTTCTGTCACTGAATCCCCAGGTCTTCAATTACAATTTGATTTAGAAGTAATTCTACTGGTTTGATTTGCCTCCAGTTTAAAATATTCTGTATCAGAAAGAAGTGCCAAATTCTATAAGATCTTGAAGAGATCAATTTAGTTGAGTAAAACCTTAGTAAACTGGACCTCTCAGCAGTGTAATACACTGAATTGCTATTCATGATTAAATACAGTCTTGGAGGTTTTTACACCTTTCAAACTCATATTCATTCTCTCTCTCTCTCTCTCTCTCTCTCTCTCTCTCTCTCTCTCTCTCTCTCCCTCCCTCCCTCCCTCCCTCCCTCCCTCCCTCTTTCTGTAGAAGCTTTTGTAATATATGTTTTTTCTTTTCATTCAGGGTTGCTTTTCCTAGCTCTCACTCCTGTTACTGTTGCCACTCGTACCTCTTTTTTCCTTTTTAAAATATGTAGTTTTTTTCTCCTTAGACAAATAAATAAGAGAACTTAGGTTGATATAACTAAAGATTTCAGATCATATAAAAGCAGAATAATATCTTCACTAAAAAGTAAAGTATAAAAAATTCCATAAAAAGATATTATGATTTCTCTTTTAAAAGTTTGAGTATTCCTTCCTTCTTTCTTTCTCTTTCTTTCCCTCTCCTTCCTTCCTTCCTTCCTTCCTTCCTTCCTTCCTTCCTTCCTTCCTTCCTTCCTTCTTTCCTTCCTTCCTTTTCCTGGTTTTCCAACATATTTTAGTTTGGAGAAAGTAATGACTGGGTAGATAAATGTTATTTCAACTATTAAATAAAAGACTAAAATAAGTAATCTTTCAAATGGATAAGGGCAAGTGAACCTTAATCAGATTGGGTATCTACAGCCAGATAAAATACAACATCTCTCCGTGAACACATACTGTTTACCACCAAGAGGATTCCTTTGGGCACACAGAACAGGAAGTCATCGAACAACTTGATTTCTTGGGACATAGATCCTCAAAATATAGCCACAAGTTTCTATCATAAAATAATACCAGTGAAATCTAACAGTTAAATATCCTACAGATATTAGTGGTCTGTGTAGATGTAAGTATATTGTTTCTAGTGACACAAAATAATAGGGCTTTGAGACTCAGAATGATCCAAGGAAGGGTGGCAAGAACCCTGCACCTTGCTCCCTTGTTCTCTTGCCAGCTCTCACTCTCTCTCGAGTTGATGAAAGCAAATGTACCCAAGAAAACCTTGCCCACAGCCTTCTGACAATGGCTTAGGTCAGTGGTAAGATTAGAACTAGAAATCAGACTAGGCCATCACTTTTTTTTTTTTTTAGGACATCATCTTCTGAATGACCATTGGCACTAATTGTATATTAAGCATCTCCCCAGACCTCCCCCAACTATAATTATCTATGACCCTACAAACTTTAGATGGCATTTTTCCTATAGAAGTCATTAGCATAGGTAAGATCTTTTTTTTTTAAAGTGGTATTATTTCTTAGTTTAAAAATTCAAAGCCAGAATATTGAAATGTGTGGGTCAGATTAAGGTCTACATTTCTTCCCTAGTTTTCTCTCCAATCATGAGCAATGAATATAATCTCTGCAGGGATACTATTGGTTAAACACTAATAAAGTGTGTTAACAAAAAACTACAGTGAAATATACCAAAAATGGTTGTTGGATGGAATATTTTTTAATATGAATTTAGATTTGCTCTTTAATAATAGCCAATTTAATAGCAAGTCAAATCATTTATTCCCTTAAAGTATTTGCCAAAATCAAGACTATGTACAGTGACTATTTTTATCCCAAATATCCCTAAATTTGACAGCCATTCCAATACAGGTTTGGTTTATAAAAACACTGCAATACAGGTATTTTATTCTATTTTAAACCAAATCTTCAAAAGTTGTCATGATTTAATAAGAAAATAAAATCTCAAGACATGAGATCAACATTTATTTATTTTAGTTTAATAGATTCTTTAGTTCTTTATAAAAAACATTAGTGTATCTTCAAATATAGCACACACAAATATTCTATAAATTTTGTATAAAGCTTCTATAATCCCTTAAAAAACACGATGCAAATTTGATGCATTCAAATTCTATATATAATAATATAGAGCTAATATGCAAATGGTCATCACACTCTTGCATCCTCATGCTTGGGCACCTGAGGCCTGTCTGGGGGACCTGAGGCCATGACCCCATCCCCTGCACCAGGCTGGGAGACCTGAGACTGTGCCCCCTACTCTGCAAGGCTTGATGGGGTGGGGCCAGCCTGGTCTGGGTCTTGCATAATTTCAAGGTACATGCGCATGTCAGGGACTTGACTCTGGGTCCAGTGGCATACACCAGACTCTGACAGGAGGCAGATAAGGAGATTTTCATATACATTTTACTAATTTTCTCTCATCTTTGACACTTCTATTATAGAGAAAGAGCAAATAGCAATATTAAAATATATCATCTAATTAATTTCCTTTTAATGTGCATGAATTTCGTGCAGTAGGTCACTAGTTTGAAAATAAAAGAAAAAAAATTGTTGAAGTCCAATTCTTGAATTTCATGAAAGAAACCTGATGGAGATTGGAAGTGGTATGGTCTAATCCTCTTATCTCATTTTCACTGATAGCATTATCCTTGAACAGTGTTTAGCTCAAACCAGGGAACACAGGCTTACATACAGGTTTACAAATAGCATAAAATCCAGGAATCAGCAGAATGAATGCCCCAGAATGAAATAGTTTAACTTCTTCAAATTGCTTTGTGCAAATTTAATTATCTAGGCTTCTGTTGGGCACAGCAAGGATATTACTAATCTTTTACTATCCCTTCTACCAGCTATGAAGTACAGTTAAAGTATTAAACTCAATGTACATTCAGGTATGCCTGCTTAAAAAAAAAAGAAAAAAGAAAGAAACCTAATTGGCTAGAATTTTTCTGCAATCTGAGGGATAATACACAAACAAGAATGTTGCATTCATTTTCCTGAAAATGCCGATAAAGCAAAAAAAAAAAAAAAAATGTAAAGGAAAAAAAAAAAGCAAAATTTTGGATTGCTTCACCAATTCAGAAGCAATACTCTATGAAGAGGGAAGAGAGAAGTGTGCTCTTTGATAATTGAAACTTAAAGACTGCTTACCATGTTCTTCACTGCAGATGCTTGACTGGCAGCACAAGGGGCACTGCAATATAATTATTTTTAATTGCCAATTCACATATCTAAATAAAAGAATGCATGAGACACCCCAGAGGTACTGTTCTACAGCGGAGGTTTCATACATCAATGCAGGCTTAAGCAAAAGGGAGCTTTTGTCAATATTTCACTGGCATGTCACCCACAATATAACACCACCACTTAGAAATTAAATAGGTCTTTCATTTGCAAAGTGCTTTACAGTAATTAATCCTCAAAATACTCATTTATTTTTTTTTGGCGGGGGGGAGAAATTAATTATAAAACAGAGGATTTCAAGCAAGCAATGGTTTGGATGAGGTCATAGAGATGTCATTCTTCTGAGGCTGAAACAGAATCGAGGCACGCCCCACATTGCTCATTGGATATGATTCATGTCTAATATTTTGTAGGCACTGGTAGCAGTATCACACTATTTGCTTTATGCCCACTAGACTTCTCCAAAGTTCATTTCTTTACTTAGAGTGTTACCTTTTGAAAAGTCGCAGATTTTTCATATAGTCTCAAAAGTGAAAACATCCCTACGTGACTGGCTACCTATTCGTTCACACCAAGAGGACATTTATAAGTACTATTATAACTTAGACTAGCGATTTTCAACCTTTTTCATCTCATGGAACACATACAGTAATTACTAAAATTCTGTAGCACACCAAAAAGTGTATTTTTGCCAACCTAAAGTAGGTATAATTTTTATTCACTGGATGGCTATTGTGGTGTTGGCTGTTGTCATTTTTGTTTGTTTGTTTTGTTTTATAATCTAATAAAATAGAAGTTAGTGTCCCCAACTAAGTAGTTAGGTATTGCATGCTTTAAATTTTTTGTAGTACACCAATTGAAAATTACTGACTTAGATCATAATTACTGTGGCAACAGATACAAGTTCACCATGGAATATATATATATATATATATACCCAAGACAGAAAACTGTACAGCACATGGTTGCTTAGGAGTCATTCCAAAAATTTTATTGGCTGAAGAACTAATATTCTTTCAGCTTCCCTCACTTGTTTGTCCATTAATTCATTACTCAACCATTATTGAGCACTGCTGTTTGCAAGGTACTGCACTAGATGATTTAGAAAAAAAAAACTGTCACTTGATCTCATGG